GCACGCGCCAAGAGACTGTTTTTGTCGCATTACATTTAGTTACATTTTGTGTACAATTTTGAAGATAAGTTAGCGACGGAGCTGAGGGGCATGATTTCGGTTTCGATTGGACAGACATTAGAGAGTTTTAGTTCCGATACCCCCGATAGCCCCGATAACGATACTATGCAGGCGCAAGGGAGGCGGTGGCGGAGTATCGGGTATCGTTATCGGAGTCATGGGAACGATCTACTAAAACTCTCTACTGTCTGCGTTCGCGCGACGAAGCATGCCCAACAGCAAGCCTGCCGAAGTTGGCCTCACGCGCATGCGAACATGATTGCGTGACTGAGGCACCAGCTGGGACGCTTGCGATTCATTGTTTTACATTTTCTTGCTTTTGACGAAATTCTGGCGCGTCGGGAACGGGTAAAACGGTGGCAAGTGGTTTTTCGAAATTGCTTGGCAATGCCTACAGCACTGTACACTTGTGGGATGTCTGAGCAGTAAAAACAGAAGCAGTGAGTTCCGTCACAACACGTCACATCGGAACACAACACAAAGTGCCCTTCGTTTGTAAAGCACTTGAAACAAATATTTTTATTGTCCTAAGAATATCTGCTCCAAAATCCACTTTTGCTGCTCGGAAACACTGTCTTGGCTGCTCCAAAAGCCGCTTTTGCTGCTCCAAAACACTGTTTTGGTTGCTCCAAAGGCCACATTTGCTGCTCCAGAACACTGTTTTGGTTGCTCCGAGACGTGCGCCAAAATGGCTTAGGCCAATCACATCACTGTTCATGTCATCAAGCCAGAACTTGGTGCATGGGAAACCTCGTATAATAAAAATTGTTTCCACGAAGTCCTCCTGTGCCGGCTGAGAATCGGCCATTCATTCCTAACCCATCAATACCTGCTTATAGGTGAGGAACCGCCGATATGCGAGCACTGTGGGGAAGCTTTATCTGTTCTGCATGTTCTCTTTCTTTGCCGTGGCCTTTTACAACAATACAAGATCTATTTCTCTGAGTTTTTCAAGTACAACATCCCATTTCACCCTGTCTTATTTCTAGGGGAGCAGCCTCTCATATCACTTGAACGTCTTTTAGCTTTCCTCAAAACTACAGGTATCTTACATAAATTATAGCCAAATTCTAGTCTAGTGAATGTACTTTTACCAGTGTTTTTCAGCTTACCTAGTTTGGCGCAGTATGGCCATCGGAGCTCTTGCGCCATAAAACCCGTAAACAACAACAACAACAACAACAATCACGGGATAACTTGCATTCCTGGCGAATGAGTATGCTAACCACAAAAAAATCAATAAGAAATGGCCTTATTCGTGTTTGTTACTTGCGACTGTGTAACAAGCTTACCTTCTGTTCGGCTATCAATGCCGAATTCTTTAAATGCCTTGACGAAGTTGCTTCCATTGTCAGCTACAGTTCCCACAATCTTGCCATGTCCAAACCGAAGTCCCCGTAAATATCCGCAAGCATGTCGGCCACGCGGTCGTATGAATGGGTTCCTAGAAACCGCTTGCAAGTCAAAGACACCGACTCTTGCTTAAGGGTATCAGGTGAAATCTGAAAACATACGATCCTTATCTAGCTTTAATAAAATAAACTTAAACTGAATTCAACATTTAGGACAAGTAACAGTTATTCAGGAATGCCGCAAAGCAAATATAGCCGTCAACTAGGATTCTAAGAAAATCTCGAAAACATGCGGACAGACGTAAAAGCCATATTGTAGAAGTTACCTAAATAATAAAAAAAATAACATTTAGTCAGGATGCTATTTTAGAAGTAGATGTGTCCGTGATATGACCAAAGCGAATCGCCGGCATCAACAGAATGTTCCAGAATGGCATTTCTTAGAAATTGTTTTTATGTGAGACACGACTTCAAGAGTATTGAGATTGACAAATGAAGACAGGTCACCCCGAAAGCCTGTAAGCCATTAACATGATATTGTTGCGTTGTTCTGGGACCAAGCAAGGAGACGTCCGTTTGTGGTTTGGCTTTTTAATTCCAAACTGACCGCCACCGGCGCGAGCCCCTCGCTCGTGCTCGTGGCGCCGAGTCAGCCCGTCGTCTTCTTCCTCGTAGCAATATCATAAAAAAATGTTGCGATGTGTCTCACCCAGTGAGCTGTAGTGCCTATAAATCTCCTGGTTGTCGACGACCAGACATCTGCGGTGAAGCACACATACGTAACAGACTGCAATGTACACTGAATGGCGCTGACCTTCTCCTCAAATCTTCATCAATTCTCCGAGACAGAGTCCTTCGCGACATCACCGTAACTGTGGGGCACATTCCTAAATACAAATAAAAACCAGTATACATTGATTAAGATTGATAAAAATATTATGCTGTGCAGTACAAATGACAGTAAAGTCAATGCATATCACCTTTCACGAATTCCTGGAACGGCTCCTCGTCCACGAACTACAGAGGTAGCATGGTTTCAACTACCAAGTTTTGTAGAAGCTGGTCGAACTTGTTTTGGTTTACGCGTGCAGGAACGTTCATGAAGTTCTGAAGCCTCTTGGCTGCCACATTCCTGAAATTGCTCACCTTCATTCTGCGCTTTGCGTCCGCTACAAGCTTTTTCAGGCCTCTGCAGATGCTTGTCATATTCCGCTGCCTTGTTTGGGTGCACCCGCTAGGGTAGAAAAAGAAGACAAAAACAGGGCATAAATCAGTCTAAACAAATGCACAAGAATGATTTCAAAATGAATAATGGAGTACTCAGAGTGAGATGCAGCTTGAAATTAGACGTGGACGTTCTCGACCCGGAAATAACTTTTGTGTATAATTGGCATTTTGCTTTTAATATATTACTTTTAGGCATAAGCGAGTCTTTAAAGGGCAACTCCGGTCCATACTTTCGATTTTGGGATTATGGCTGTTTTTAGTGCAGTTAGCGCCTCTGAATTGCAAGGTGTAATTTTTTTCTCGTTATTGTGCGTAGTTTTAAAAATATCGACGTCTCAAAGTTTTGTTTGGGGCGCGGCCGACGAAACCGAAACTAGCCGCTCGAGGTTCCGGCAACACTGGAAATCAGCCGCTATGTGGACGTGACGCCAAGATCGTTCTCGTTCAGCGAGTACGCAGTCCAAGCGGCACCTACCTCTGTTGCGCTAGTTGTCTAAAGATGGGAGGTAAGCTGATTTTGTTTTAATTCTGTATACGTGGTAGTTATCCAGCATATGTAGCAAGAGTTAATGCGTATACCCAAAAGCTAGTGACTGGAAAACCCGTCAACTCGTTCGGTGGCGTACTCGGCGGCTGCCGCTGCGCGTGCGCTATGCCGTGCTGTACTCTTGTATAACCAAAAGCTAGCGACTGGAAAACGAGTGAACTCGTTCGGTGCCGTACTCGGCAGCTGTCGCCGTGCGTGCGGTCTCCCGCACTCGTCGCTAGGTCTAAATTGTCATCGGGGCTCTACGCCGCGCTGCCAGTGACGTACAGTGCTGGCGCTTTCGCGCGGCGGGTCCGTCCCACACACGAAGCTTTGAGGCTCTCCGGTGCGTTCCGCGACAACCGAAAAGACGTGTGTCAAGCTGTAGACGTCTGTTTTTTCGTTATTTTTTCCTCAGGCGCGTAAAAGCCGAATTTGTAAGCTACGACACTAATTCACCACATAAGTTCGTCAAGGTAGTGAATCTTTGTACAAATAAAAAAAAACTTGCCGCACTAAAAAAAAAGTTCTTTGGGCAGTCATTTTCTTCTCAAAGCTAGCAAAAGTTATTGTGGGTGATAAAGGCAAAAAGAGAACTTTAGCAAGGTAAGAACACTTTCTTTCCCTTCCGCATTCCCACCCCCACCCACAACAATTTTTTTTATTAGGATACATAGGATTTTAAGTTTTCCTTCGTAACTTTTGACTAAGGCAAGTGTTGCTTTTTTTTTTTTTGCATATTTAAATATTATATTTACCTTCAGCCGAACTCGGGCAAATTAGAGAGTTGTAACTTACAAATCCGAACTTTCGCGATTTCTTTAAAGTCCCTTGTGGTATTCACAAGCGCAATGATAATTAATACTGCTGCGTAACGGGTTTGAACGATTGGGAGGCGAATGTTTATATCGCATGAGCTTCACGCGCCGGTTGTTCGCTAGTAGTCGTTACGGACCTCAATACTACGCACGAGATTGCGCAGTAAACAAGCAGTGACGCAAAACAGAACATTGTTTTCGTTTTCATTACAAATTTCAGTGTTTGGAGCTAGTTAGTGGTTGTACTCTACATGCCCACCATTCCCCATTCAACAGACATTCAATGGAGCGTGAATGCTCAATCTTCAACACTGCACTTGACAATGACTGTTTTATTTATTGATCAGGATACTTTTATCATGTTTACCTTTTCTGTGCATGTACGATGGGCAAAGAGCGACGGCACGACATCCTTTTTAAGCCTCGACCCCTTTGCTGACAAGCCACAAGCAACCAACACCTGTAGGTTACGTTCGTGACTCTCTGGCGAAAAATGATCGGAGCAGAGCTTCGATCTGGGGGTCGACGTCCAAGGCTTTCCAAAGTCCACTCGTCGCACAGCGTTCACCCACACCTTCTTCAATTTCTGGGGTTGCGCAGCGGCTTGTTTGAGCAGCCCACAGCGCTTTAAGTTGTATTCGGCATCTTTCGAGGAACGGCTCGGCAGTCTTGGGCGCACCGAGTTGCTCGCTAAAACGAGTCTAGGAGTCCTCACAAGCAAATAAACAAAAGGCTATACCGAAGCTACACGGGCTACAGGTAAAAGCAACGGCTAAACACGCAATTATAAGCCGAAGTAGCGGTGGTAGCGGCACAAAGAAGCGCGCACGACGGCTGCGCCGTGCGCCCGTCCAGAACGGAGGAAAAAAAGAGAACGATGTTGACATCACGGCCCAATGTTGCTTTAGCGATCGGCAACCTGCTGGCCGCCCGCTAAGGGGCAGCGGCTCGCGTTTTTATTATCGGCATTAGTTGAGAATGCGGCGTCCCACGGACGTGAAATTTTGGCTGGGGTCGTATTTTGTGTCACTAAAGCGATACCAGTAATTTAATTCATTTTGAGTTTTGGCCGGAGTTTCCCTTTAATAGGTTGAAAAAATTTACCATCAAGAATGGAGTGCGGTTATTCCTTCAACATCTTCCTTAGGCGACACCTTCTGAAGCAAAATTTCACAAAAGGTGAACCTCTATAAATAGGTACAGTGTCCCCCAACTAATCCGGGTCTCTTTTTCTCTTTCTCTTTCTCTAGGACGCAGACAATACTTTGAAGTGGACAGTCTCCCAAAGAGGGCGAGGAGGAGAGGCACCTTATGAAGTGAAGGGAAAGGAGAAAAGGGAAACCTCATCAGGCAGTGGAGGAAAGGAGGGACTTCGGAAAGGAGGAAGATGAACGGAGCCTAACAAAAGGAAGGAGGTGAGTACTGAAGTTCTGAACAAAGAAAGGCAAGGTTCACCTCTGAAAGAACGAGGGAAGGACAACCTATGTCTGTTAGAACTTGGACGGACGCGAAATTATTGAGGTCTTTGAGATGCGTCACCGTAACCCCCCCCTCCCCCGAAAAAAAAAAAAAAAAGAAAGATAAAAGAGCTGGGAAATGTAACGAGATACATTGGCCCCTGATTGTATTGCAATATCAGGAATACTTTGTAAATTGAATTTCGATACTGAAATATAAATACTCATCTGAAATTGTATTGCGATACAGAAATACAGATACAAAATGTATTTTTAAAATACTATTGCGATACTGCCCAATTAACCCTGGTACTGTGTTAAAATAGACAATAAAATATTTATTTATTTCTTCAGGAACCAAAAGAAAATGAGGCGCGACGGTGCCGAAGCTTCCGGTAAGAAGCAAGCAAACAAGCAAACAAATATTTCCCTCCCTTTTAGAGAGGTGTCATCTGCTAGCAACTCAACCCGCCAACTGCAAACAGCCGTCCCCATTGGTGAGTCGACTGCTACCCGTGTTTTGACTGCACTTTTCGTCGTTGAGCACTGTGATTGCGTCCGCTCTATGTGCTGAGTTTCAACACCCTAAATCGCGAGGTTCGCTTGAATCGGGAAAGGAATCAAGAGGCGGCAACGGCACAAGGCGAAGAAGCTTGCGTCGGAGCAAATCGAGACCGTTCGGATGCAACAGGTTACCGATGACTACGCATCAGACGACGAGCCGATGGAAGAAGACCAAGGGAGAGTCAACCCTTCCTCCCAGAGCTCTACCGTCCACGGTGAGTCGTTGAAAGCCACAGCGTCGGGGAGTGGAACAGCTACCTGCTCTATGCACGGACTGGCTCCTGCATCCCACAACAGCCAGGAGAGTCTGTGGTAAACTTTTCATCAGCAGTTCCGCCTGACGGGGACTTCGAGATAATGAGCTCCGCTGCTTTAACCTCCGCTGCATCGACACCCGCCGGTTCAGCCTCCGCGCAGGGCGCACTGCCAAGCGACGAGAGCCCAAGCACCGAGACCTCTGATCGGGAGCGCCTTAGAGTATGGGCAGTGAAGCATACGATCAAACACGTCGCCTTGAACGATCTCGTATATTTGGCGGCCAAACTTCCAGGGCTACCGACTGACACCCGGACGCTTCTGCACACTCCGAGAGCCACGGAAATCCATCAGTGCGGCTCGGGTGAGTAAATTCACATCGGATCCAAAGAAGGGATTCAGAGATGCCTGCTCTGTGGATTTGCCGACGGCTGTTATGCACCTCAGCATCAACATCGACAGCCTGCCTCTGTTCTCTGGCTCATCCATGCACGTTTGGCCAATTCTGTGCATGCCATTGAACACAAATGACACAGCGCCATTCCCTATCGGCTTTTACTGCGGCCTCAACAAGCCTGATGACATCAATGTCTTCAGAATGCAATTTCTGAACTGAAGGAACTGCTCCAAGTAGGTGTACAAGGCGGCGGGGCAACCGTTTCTGTTCTCCTACAATCAGTGATGTGCGACGTGCCGGCAAGGAGCTTTATGAAGAATGTAAAGGCCCACAACGGCTCTTTCGGGTGCGATAAGTGCACTTAAAGAGGCTGCTGGAGAGGGAGCATGATCTACCCGAAAGTTGATGCTCCACTTCGGACTGATGCCTCCTTTCGAGATATGGAACAGCCAGAACATCACAACGGTGCTTTGTCCTTGATGGAACTGGAGGGCCTGGGGATGGTGTTCCAATTCCCTGTGGACCCGATGCACTTCTCTATCTGGGCGTAGTGAGAAAGCTGGAGCACTATTGGACACAGAAGGGTCCCAGGTGTGTCCGCCTGCCCTCTGCCAAGGTTGCGGAACTCTCGGAAAATCTCAATGCCGTGAAGTCTGTGGTGGCTGCCGCCACACTGCTCCGGCAGAGGGCAAAGACTCCCGACGGCAGCGCCATGCGACGGCAGGGCGCATCTAAGGGGGGGGGGAGGGGGGGAGGAGGGGGAGGGAGGGAGGCGCAGGAGCATTCCGGGTGGAGACGGGGATTAAACAAGACGGAAAAAGCCCTTCCTTGTGATTACGAGTTCTTCCGGGGTAGACCGCACGGACGAGAACCCGGAGGTCCCAAGGTGTGGGCAGGGAAACCTACATTGGTGCCCAACATGGGGCCTCGTTCGTGTGGCCGACTCCACAAGGTATGTGGGGTCTTTTCTACTGTTTGTCTCGGGTTTGCATGTGCTCGCATTCACGCAGCGGAGGAGGCAATGCGAATTTTCGGCGCATAGGCCGGTGACAATTCTGTCCACACGGCACGAGCAAGGGTACAGGCAGCTCATAACTGCTGTTTTAAGAAAAAAACCAAACATCATTCTATTTCGGTCAGGGTTATCGTTGAGCGGCGCCACACCCCCTGCGTTTCTACCCGCATTATCGATTTGTTGTGGAAGTGATATTGTCATTATGGAAGAGTGATTGCATGGTTTACGTACAACGCCATTATCTCAGAACAGGTCTCCTTTCTGTTAAAGGTTTGCTTTTTATTTCACCAATTCTATGCGGAGCACCGGCGGTTGAGAATAGTCGCGCTTTAGGCAGAAAGAGGCCTCTATATAGCACCGATTGGAAGACTTTCAGGGTTGGGGAGAACTCACGATGAGCGTGGTTACAGGGTCTGTCCCAAAAGTTCCCGGAATTGTTGTTTTTATAAATCATCTATTCAATATCAGTTTACAATCTTTTCAGAACTTTTCAAAGTAATCTCCCCCTGCTTCGATGCACTGTTGCCAACGCTGAACCCAATCACTGAAGGCGCCTTGGAAGCCGTCAACAGGAACCTCCTTCAGTGAGGTCGTCACAGCTGCTTTTACCGTCTCCAGCGTTCCATGCCGAGTTCCTTTCAGGGTTCTTTTGATTCTTGGGAATAAAAAGAAGTCCGGTGGTGCCAGATCGGGGCTGTACGGTGGCTGGGGCAGCGTTGGCACACACATTTTAGCCAGCAACTCGGAGACTATGAGCGCGGTGTGGCTTGACGCATTGTCATGGTGCAAGATCCAGTTGTCGCAAATTTCTTTTCGGACTCGTCGAACCCTGTTTCGCAACCGTTTGAGCACTTCACAATAAAACTCCTTGTTGACTGTTTGTCCCTGTGGCACGAATTCACTGTGAACCACACCTTTTCTGTCAAAAAACACAATGAGCATTGCCTTGATTTGCGATTTGCTCATCCTTGCTTTTTTCGGGCGAGGAGACTCCGTGGTGTGCCACTCGCTGCTCTGACGCTTTGATTCGGGATCGTACTCGAAAATCCACGTCTCATCCCCTGTGATCACTCTGTCCAAAAATTCTGGGTCTGTTTCGAAGCGTTCGTGCAATTCCTGACACTTCAACAAACGCTCTTCCTTCATCTCACTCGTCAGGACCTTTGGCACCATTTTCACGCAGACTTTCCTCATTTGGAGATCCTCTGTTAAAATGCGATGAACGATTGTTTTGGGTATTCCACACTCATCTGCGACCATTCGAACGCTTAATCGGCGGTCCTTGTCCAAAACGTGACGCACTTTTTGCACCGAGTCATCCGTTTGTGATGTCGACGGGCGTCCCGAGCGGTCGTCGTCGTTGACGGACTCCCGACCTTCCCGGAACCTCTTGTGCCACATGAAAGTTTGGCTTTTTTTCATCGCGTCGTCGCCGTAGGCTTTCCGAAGCATTTCGAGCGTCTTCGCTCCGTTTTTACCTAGTTGCACACAAAACTTGATTCCATAACGTTGCTCCAAAAACTGGTCCATTTTTTTTTCTCGACGAGGGTGCTGTAGATGCCTCTGCGCGGAGCGTGTCCTGCCTCAGCAACTGATAGCAGACAACTGAGACTGGTCTCGTTTCGAAGCTTATATCCCCCACTAACTTCTCCACCTGAAGCCCCACCCCGCCAGGCGGCGTTGCCGACCACAAAAATTCATTCCGGGAAGTTTTGGGACAGACCCTGTAGGACAACACCGCTGCATCTTTCCACGGAGTATCTTAGCAAAACTATGGGCGACGACGGGGATGATATACCCCTCGGTGAACTCGCGAAGCGGCTAAACCCCGCCAGCACTAGCGAACATGACACACGGATTTTGCAACCAGTGACCACAGAATCGGCGGGCACGGTGCAACAGGACACTGTCGACGAGTTGAGATCGGCCATGACCCTACTGCTTCAGTGTCAACGGGACCAGATGGTGCAACTAAGCGGCCCTTCGGTGACAGTCACTTCGCCTCCTAAAAACTATTCGCGCCTCTCGCTTACTATCTTGAAGTATGCGGGCTACGGGATAAGAAGTGGGTGACAACGTTCATCTCTGAGCTACAAAACTACAAAGCAGCGTCAGGGATAAAAGACGAGGTACTAGTACTAGACAGTCTCCTCCCGGTTGCACTGACAGACAGTGCAACACTGTGGAGGCAAAGACAAACTAAATTCACATGTATGTCAGATTTCGAGGTGCAATTTAGGACGGAGTTCCTGCCTCCGGATTACAGCATGCGGATCAGGGAAGAGCTGTGCGCGCGCACACACCGGCCGGACTAGTCACTCATTGAGTTTGTAAGGGCTCTCCAGGGCCTGTACGATAACGCCGACGCCGCGGCACCAGACGCAGAGAAAGTAGAACGCGCCATCCGCCAAAGCCACCCGCATTTCCATCCCCATCCCAGGGGGCGCACATTTCAGAACTTAGACGAGATGGCACGAGCGGCGATCACCATCCAGGCCGATATCCTCGCGGAACTTAGACACTGCCCCCCTCCTCCACAGAACATGACCCCCGGAACCATCATTTGCGTGGTCTGGGAACGCACGGGTACTTAGAGTCGGGGGAGAACCAGACTGTAGGGGCCCCGTGCTTCGTTACTTTCTATTTTCCTTTAAGCTTGCAGCACCATCGCCAAGCACAAACGGTGATCTGGTCGCGAGCGCGCGTGATTAAAAGACATTCCATCCGAGACATTGGAGTCGCTTGACGTGTTTTCTTCAAACCGTTCCCAGCTCCAGATGCACGATTCGACCACGTGCACATCGACATCGCAGGCCCTCTCCCATCATCTCGAGGATTCACATACATTTTAACAGGTGTTGATCAGTACACCAGAGGCCTGAAGCAGTTCCACTGGCCGACATCTCTGCTGAGACCGTCGCAAGAACATTTGTAGGGACGTGGGTTTTTCGCTTCGGTTGCCCATCAACAGTAACGACAGACAGGGGACACCAGTTCCAGAGCACCTTGTTTGCAGCCCTAACTGACCTGCTCGGGGCCCGCCACATCCACACTGCCGCGTACCACCCGTTGGCTAATGGCATGGTGGAACGCTTACACCGGCAGCTCAAAGCGGCTATCACGGCACGAGACGAACGCCTTTACTGGGTGGGCCATTTGCCTCTTGTCCTGCTTGGTATCTGGTCTACATACAAACAAGACCTGAACTGCACCTCCGCAGAGTCGGTGTATGGTGCACCACTTCGTTTACCCAGAGAATTCGAAGC